CCGGCCGGCCGGTATACGCTATGTAGCTAGCGCACATGAAAGTCAAGCGCAGGACGATATAAAGCCGGGCAATATATAGGTCTGATGCAAAAGTCTCTCCGTCTCTGTCTTTCTTGGTTTTTCCAAGGAATGTCGCGGCGGCCGAGTATATACCGCGCGTCTGGCATCTGCAATTTCTGCGCCCATAGTGCCGCACACACACACGTTTTGCCAATGTGCGGCTGCGTTGCAAGAATAAGAAAAAGAGAATATGCACTCGCAATACTTATAGGTAGTCGTACAACCGACAATTTATTTATCCGACGACTCACTCGATCACAAGGTAATTTCCTATGCTAAGACACTGTGGCATTGCGCACCACACGCTTTTGCGTCCGCAAAGCGAGCCTTATTTCATCCTAAAAGGCTCTTGATCTATCGCTTGATTTTATCCTGGCCTTTTGGTACGTGGGTGTATTATATGGCCTTTAAATTTTACTTACGCACTTGGGTTTTTTTTAAATTTGTAAAAAAAAATGAATAAAAAATGAATGAATTGATTTCGTAAGATTTCACGTGATTTGACTTCGTTAGGTAAAATCGTTAGCATCGCCCGTGTTTATTATATGCTGGCAAGCAATCACTTTATCACGCTTCATCGGTATCAAAGCCACCATAAATAAAAATAATAATATTCAAGTACTGCACAAAATGTCACTCGATCGGAGAAAGTCCCCAGCGACTGTACACACACACTTATACGGTCGCGCGCACTGCGATTATTAACGCTTGATTTTTGCGTGCAGATGCCGGCATGCGCCCGCAGCAAGCGGGATTAATAATTTTTAATTCGCCTCGTGCAGCTGCTTTAATCTTTTTTTCTCTCTCGCTCACGTCCTCTGATATGGCCCTGGCCTGTGCTGTATATTGTACGGTAACACAAGTATACGAATAATACTCGTGCTTGGAGCGTTTATACTTCTTTTCTTCGCTCGCTCGTGACGGAATTGATCGGTAATAGTAGTAGTAGTAGTAATAGCAGATACTATCTCGGCTACTGCGGGAGAAAGAGACAAACAAAAAACGAGCGTATCAATCATTTATCCCCGTGAGCGATCGTACGCCTCGAGACGTACTCTTGTCGTCGTCGATACGTTACATATACGTTATTAGTATAGTGAACATAGTGCAGTGCAAAGTGAGCGGAAATCGCGTGGTGCGCGAGAGGCGTTAAATATCGGTGCACACGCCGGTTTTTCACCAGATAGCCGTCGACTCTCGGCTTTATTTATTTATTTATTTTTCATATACATTTTTTTCATACTCTCGTGTCGAGTTCGTATTTCACAACTCGAGCCCACGCTCGACTGCAGAGCGAGATCTCAATAAAGAGAAAGACAGAGAGATACTACACGGTTGCAGTAATAATCAATCGAGGATATAATGGTGGCGGTTTTGGCGACCGTCTTACCTGTACGCCTTATAATTCTGCGCTCGAGTTCACCGTCGCGCATGACATCGTCGTAATCGTACTAGATTTTATTTTCCCTTTCCTTATTTTTTTGTACGTTCATCTTTGGCCATTCGCCTCGGTGCGCAGTCGTTTAAAGCCTGTATACGAGCTCGTTCATAATAGCAAATGTACGCGCGCGTGTATACGGTTTACTTACTTAGCAGCAGGAACAGCAGCAGCACTTGGTTTCATCCTAATACGTCTGGCAATTCTCCTCTCCTTTTATCGCTCATCGTCCTCGTCGTCGTCTGTCTAGTCGCGCCGCCCCCTTCTATTTCTCTCTCGTATAAATACCGCTTTAATTTCCCACCCTACATATGCGCTCGCACGCATAATACACACACACATACAGCACACAGATATAGATCGAGACACTGGGGTTAAAATACTCAGTATGCGGTTTGCCCATTGCAAGTAGTGGTAGTAGTCTATATTGGGTGCTATATACACAGGCACGCATAGAGAATGCAAAGGACGACGACGACGAGATGAAGAAATGGAGTGGCACGTCTGGCCTTGGAGCCGGTTTTGCAGACTACGTCCTTGAAAATCGTGAGATCGGAGAACAATCGGACATCGGTGTGTGTGTGTGTGTGCTGCTGCATGCCTCTATACTATATATACCGTCTAGCTTCGTTCTCATTCCTTTTTTCGAGTTTCTCTCCGTCTCTCTCTCTTAGTTCCTATATAGCCATTTCACCTAGGAGCAGCGAAGCAACCGAGCCACAGCATGAATGCTCCGCTTGTACTTTTCTCTCCCTAAACGCACATGCACACACGCACACAATTTGCTCCATCTCCGCACCAGCCTTGGATCTAGCTCTTATTTTTTGGTGCTCACGACACTATACACTTCTGTAAAGATCGAATATATAAAGAATATATACATGTATATCTTTCTCCCCCTCTTATAACAACGTGTCCGAATATTATATCGACGCGTAAGCTCGACTCCTTCTCTCTCCTTTGTTATGTAGTCGTTTTAGAAATTCGATATTTTATTTCTACAAAAGCGTGCGCTCAACGACGGCGCACGATCGTCGTCAATCGAATGACGTTTGGTTAGCGGAGCCCCGCGCTCGGGCTTACTCGTGACGGAATACTTGAATTCATATATGCGCTATTAAGATACCAAAGCTAAGTGACTTGTCTCGCGTAAAACGACCCACTCACTCGTTTTATATATTATTTATATACCTATGTATACTTGAGTTTCATTAAATATACGTATAAGGCTTAACACGCTGCAGTGATACTGCAGCAGTCACGTCTTATCGTCTCTGTCTCTCTCTGCCAGCTACGCTTTTTTCACTGCAGACTTTTTCGCTCCTTCGTGTCTGTGTGTGCGAGTACGTGTATTTGGCAAGCAGCGCTGGCACTTTTTATCTTACCAGACCATCGTGCACACAGTATCTCTGTGAGCTCTTTTCCAGAGAAAGAGAGACAACATCGTTGTCGGATGCTGCTGCTGCTGCTGCGTCTACTCTCATTTTGCTGCAGTGCGACGAGCGATAAATATATCTATAATAAAGCCCCGGCGTGCTCTGCATTCTGATTTTTTGCCAATTTTACTTGTTCCTCGTTCTTCCTTTGCCGTGCTATATAAAGGTTAATTTGATCTTTGATTTGCCAAATTTTTCCCATTGAACGAATTCGCTACAAAGTCGAGTAAAAGATTGAATTACATTGCATTTATATTATTGACTTTTCAAAGTACAGCCCTCTGAAATTAAAGAGCAACATAATTGAGGCTTTATATCTGTACATTTTATTTCATTATCGTGATGCAACTCATCGATAGCAATCATATTAGAGCATGCATTTTTTTAAAATCTGGATTAAGTCTTATCGCCGTTTCATCTGACGTCTGCTTTGTATAAGGGCACCGTGCGCATCTGTCCCGGTGAAATCATGTTTCGCGCATTCGCAGCCGACAGCCGATACTAACGGAGCGAACCCGATTATCTCCAGACAGTCCGTCTCTTTAAAAAGTCGTTGCAGCTTTGAAAATGATTTATCATTTTAGTCTGCGAAGATAAATTTTTAATGTTATATCCTTGATAAATTAACGGCATATTACAGTAAATTAACTTTTTATCTCGCTAATATGTGTTAAGGGGGGGAGTCATATTCATTTTATTTAAATATTTCCGCACCAAAACGGAACAGTAATCAGTCTCACTTTGAAAGATTTAGAGTCACGAAGAGCTTGGGTGGTTTGAAGGTAAAATTGATTGCCAATTAATATTGAATATCGTTTCTTTATTTTTACGGATAATAATTAAGTAAAATAGCTTATCATTCCAATCATTTAAAATGTTGATGTTTCAGGTCTTGAACGAAGAATTCCAGCATCAAGTTTCAAGAAACAATTACCAATCAGTCGTAATGTCAAGAAATCTTCCGCACCAGTTTGCAACTCGCGTTACTCCGGTACTTAAGACTGTACATTTAATTAGTCAGGTACCTGAAGTAGCGCGCGCTGCGACTGGACACTCATCTGTCACGGAGTTTCGTTTATTCAAGTTTTTCTCATTAAGTACCAAATAACCACATTTTTGTGTGTATAATTGTCAGCAGAAGCATCGATATCTACAATTAATTCACAATAGGCTCCTAGGGCAGAAACGGAGGCTACATGTTAATTGTACTTCATCAGGTGCTCTGGTGTAATTAGAAACCCGGCGCCTGCTGGAGCGCAATTCATATGAATTTGCCTCTTCGACTGATTTTCTTCTTCGATGTGTTGATCACTGGAAAAAAGGGTAACAAGGAGATTTTGAACGTCATTTAAAATTGATTATCTATATAATCAAACGGACGGGTTTTATTGACGACGAATTGATTATTCATTCGGAATCTGGGCCTAAAAGTGTGGGTTGAATGTGTAGAAAAACTTTACGATTACACAATAAATAACTTAAACATTTGTAAAAAAATCTATTTCGGTATTTTGAAAGTGAAAAGCGATTGCAAACAATCTACAGATCTACAACTTATCTATGGATATTACAGAAATGTTCGAGTCAACCGAAAAAAGCTTGAAATTTAAGAAGGAAACTTATCCTGCATTTAATAATTCAGGCCATTCAGAGCGAAAAAAGTAAAATCCTTCGCTTGACTCTTTTATTTCATTGGGATGAATATACTCAGGTATGTAATACTATTTACAAATTATAATGCATCTTATTTTTATATCGAAAGATGATTGTATTTTAGAGATTGAATATTAAATAATATATTTTTTTATTATAAGAAATTTATGAATACCGCGTTGGACACTGAAGAAAATCCCAATTACTATGATACATTTTTAACAATAAGTGAGTACTTGAGAAAAGGTGATAAGTTATAATAGGAATATTGAAAAATTGGCTTATCAGCGACACTTGAAAGAGAAACTTAATAAAGTAGTATCAGTTTTAAATAATTTATTGTTCATAGTATTAACATGTGAAAATATAAGTACTTCAAGCCCGAATTATACCTCGAAACAAATCCCACGCCTCTGGGATTTGCTACGATTATGTAATCCCTTAATGTTTCTTATTAAGATTGACTTATCTCCATTAGAATGATGACAAATATTACACTTGAAGGGTTTCCTATGATCATGTACTGCGTTGGAGGGATTTATGAGATGGCATTATTGTCCATATGATTTGTAAGATATCACATTTTAATGATTTTCTCCGAACATGTACCTTCGCTGTGTGAGCCACAAGTTTAATATTTTAGTCTAAATTATTTGTGAAAAATCTCACATTCAAAGGATTTTTTAATCATATGTACTACATTTATGTGAGTATTCAGGTTACATTTTTGTCCAAATTTTTTATGACAAATCTCACAATCCAAGGGTTTCCTATGATCATGTACTACATTAATGTGGCTCTTGAAATAACCCTTGTATCCAAATGATTTATGACAAATCTCTCATATGAAGGGCTTGATACTATCATGTACAGTATTAATATGAGTTTTAAGATGTTCTTTTCGTCCAAATGATTTATGACATATCTCACATTCAAAAGGTTTACTCCGGTTATGTACTGCAATTATGAGTTGATTGAGGTTAATTTTCTGTCCAAATGATTTTTGACAAATTTCACAATCAAAGGGTTTGCTTCGATCGTGTACTGTGTTTATGTGATTTTTGAGTACATTCCGATATCCAAATGATTTGCGACAAATATCGCACTCAAAGGGTTTGTTACGATAATGTACTACGTTGCTGTGACTTGTGAGGTTGACTTTTCGTCCAAATGATTTGTGACAAATTTCACACTCGAAGGGTTTGTTACGATAATGTACTACGTTGCTGTGACTTGTGAGGTTGACTTTTTGTCTAAATGATTTGTGACAAATCTCACATTCAAAGGGTTTGCTACGATTATGTACCGTCAGCTGGTGCCTTTTAAGATGATGCTGGTATCCAAATGATTTGTGACAAATCTCACATTCAAAGGGTTTACTCCGATCATGTACTCCATTGATGTGACGTTTGAGGTCACCTTTTCGTCCAAATGAATTGCGACAAATATCACATTCAAAGGGTTTGCTACGAACATGGACTGTATTCAAGTGAGTTTTGAGGTGTTGTTTTTGTCCAAATGATTTATGGCAAATGTCACATTCAAAGAGTTTACTAAGATTGTGTATCGTAATTATGTGAACTTTAAGGTCGCACTTGCGGCCAAATGATTTGTGACAAATATCACATTCAAAAGGTTTGCTCTTATTGTGTACCACGCTTACGTGCTGCTTGAGGTAACTATTTTGTCTAAATGATTTGTGACAAATTTCACACTGGAAGGGTTTTCTACAATTGTGTACGATATTTACATGATATTGTAGGTTCTTTTTTTGTCGAACCAATGCGTGACAAATCTCTTCCAATTCGTTAAGCATAAATCCGGGTTTTTCTTGAAAGTAACAATTATTGTGATAATCGAAATCTTTTCTTATTAAAATCATTAGACTTTTTTCTTCCAAGTAACTAGCCTGAATTCGGTTTTCTATCTTCACAATAGGTAGATGGGTTCTCGACTCGGTTTTGTAATTGGTTGTCGATAAGGAATTCAGTTCAGGTTTAAAATCTTTACACTCGAAATCGATGAATATTTTTTTGTCTAACTTTTCTTGTAACGTCATAACTTCATTTCTGTGATTTGCCTAAAATTGAAATGACGTTGCAGTTTCGGATAGTGAAAAAACTAATTATACTTGAATGATTGAACTCACTATTGATTTATAGACCGGGAATGTATCAAAGTTTTTAGCTTCGCCAGAGTCCATCAGATCGAAAATATAATCGTCGTTTACATTGTTCGATTCTTTCTTTAACCTGGAGAATAATTAAGTTTTATGAAGTGATGGCTTAAAAAAATAACACGGTATGAAGAAAAAATGGCATACCTAACTGTTCCTTCGCTGCCTTCCATTTCTCGCTTGATCAAAGTAATCTCCGTAAATTTGTACGATTTGCACTGATGAAATATTTTGAGGTTAAACACCTCGAATGACTAACCACGCCGTATTTAGAATTCACTAACTTTTAAACACTTGCTCAGACTTAAGCTCTTAACCAGCAACTGATATGAACACACTACTCGTATATATATAATGTGAGGTGATTTCTCGGTTCGTACGCCATATAGTGTACATGCGACCTGACTAGGCACTCGAATGTCATTAAAACTATTCCGATATAAATATATCGTAGGAGATAGTATAGTCGCGTCGTTATTTTAACAAAATACGTTTCTATTTTTTTACTCTTCAAAAAGAGATGGCTTGATTGTGTCATAGAAATAACCGTATTCCAATAGATCGCTCGATTTAAGTAGATGGCGTGCGATGCGTTGAGCGCGAGTTTTTAAATTCCAGAGAACGTTGCGCTCATTGTTGCTGGATTAAATAAAAAATGAAATTTGATCGTATCTAAAGATACAATTAGTCTTAATAGTTATGCATATAGTTTCCATTCAACTAATATCTGACAGCGAAAGAAAGAAAAATGCAGGAACGAGTCATGGTGCGAAATAACGAGGGAGTAAGTATAATCTGCAATATCGTTTGCAATTCTGACGTCCGAGAAGCAGCAGCGACCTAACGAGATAACGACATTACTCTTTGGGGTCACGTGGCAACGGTGACTCAACCATAAAGGTGCATAAAACAGAGGAGGAGAAAGAGGGAATGAAAAAAGCCGCAGGGTGAGTAGCAGTAAAACATACGTGATATCACTCCACAGAGAAGGAGAGACGAGCCGTCCGCATACACAGTGGCAGCTTTCACATAGTTCATAAAACGCAATTACTCTTCTCTTAGCTCTAGTGCACGAGACCAGCAAATTGTTGTAGTGCTTGTTCGAAAAACGAAAATAATAAAAAAAATGGAAGAAAGAAAAAAAAGGGGTTTAACATTTTAACATGAGCGAGCAACGCGTTGGATCACTTGCTAATAGTTAATTTTTAACAGAAAATTCGAGATTCCTCGGCGCCATTTGCGCAAACAAGAATAATCTTTTTGGTTTATGGTAAATTTCATTTGAATTGTAATTATCAATTTTTTAAGAATAAGGAACTTGTTAGAAGAAAATTGGAAATTCGCTGCAGGTTTCATCTCTATAGGTTCTCTACGGGAACTTATGGAAATTCGTTTCTCTCGGCTTCTTTTGACAGCCAATAATCCTAGGAGAGGGTATTTTACTTAGAAAGTGAAATGATTTTACTTTTGAAGTTACATTTATTACTGCGTAGCATGATACCTTTTTTCTAAGTTTGAAATTATTATTGGAAAAATGATAAAAGAGCTATTAACTTAATTTTTTTTCTAAATTTGATGAAAAATTGGTAACTATTTTAATAGAAATACCCTCGTGTTTGATACTTGTTATTGTGAAATCGATGTTTGTTCAGAAATATTAGCTGTACACTCGATCGTGTTGTTGTTTATTCAACTCGAATTTCAAAAAATATTGTTCAACTTCTTATAGTGGCTTCACTCATCGTATAAAATATTATCCATCGGACTGTAAATCAACCGTTTTGAATTAAAAAAAAAACAACTATTACTTTTCATCAAGGAGATTATATTGCAATCACTTTTTCCTTGGTAAATGGCTTTGATGATCTTCTCGCTTCGTTGAGGTAAAATAACTAATCAATTAATTCAATTGTATTGAAATTTTAAAATATTTATATCGAGTAATTAGTCAATTTTATTTATAATACAAAACTTTTATTTATCAGATAAATAATACGGATACACAAATATATATATTTATATAAATAATTATTTGTTACATAAATTGACAGTCGAACTCCAAATTTTATAAACGGTACTGCACTTCAACAGTTTCATGAAAATAAAATAGTTTTACAAATTTATAATTTAGTGTTCAGAAGAATAAAAAACATCAATTACAACGAAATGAAAGAAAATCTCGCACATCCAATAAATATTCAGACCAATGGTAATAATTACGTACATTTTAAAGAAACTCTAAAATAGAATATTAAAATTATTTAAAAAATTTTTATAATGGCAAACATGAAATAATTTTTCCCTTGAGTATTCAATTTCGCTTAACTAAAATACATCGATTCAGGTTCGATTCAATCATAATGCAGATAATTTTGAAAAACATCATTCCATAACTGTATATCCACATACATATGTACACTTTTACTTTTAATATATCCAGACTTACTTTTGATATTTATTCACAACCCAACATACCACGACTCATTCATTTTCTATTTTGTTTTAAATTCAGCTATCTATTCATCATATCTATATATCGTTAAAAAGTTTTATCAAATGTAAAATAGCTTACAGGTTGTTTTTACATATAGAAACAATTAATTGTGTATTTCGTTAAAATCGTAAAAAATAAACTTGTACTAATAAAAACAAATGAGACCATTTTCTTAATTGTTATAGAGGTACGTAGCTAGTTCTTTGCTGAGCATCACAAAGTGTCCGCTCTATCTAAATATATTGCTATTCAACAACGAAAGGTGAACAGTACATGAACGCAATTTCAAATATAATGGATTTTGCAAATGTTTTGCTCTACGGATTTTTGATTTACAGAAAAAAATTAAAAAAATAATAATAGAAGCGAACGTGGAAACGATAAAAAAATATCGGTACATTCATTATTTGTTGTTCGATAACCTCGATTTACTTTCTATATATTTGCGATAAAATCTTATTTATAAATTTACATCATATTATATTATATATATATATTTATATTTATATATATTCTGAATATCATTTACTGAGTATATACAATTTTTAATCTGCCTAAAGCAAATACTATTACATTCATACAAATGATACAAAGTTTATTTTATTTTTTGTACCGCGGATCTCGAGCACGTGCGCCCCATTGTCGCGTGACAACGTGATCGAACCGGGATACGGTCCTGGTTATTACACAATTTTTTTTTAAGATCGGAAACAAAAAAGTAATAAAAAAATATTTATATGAACCCAAAAGTTCTTTCACGAGCTTGCACAAATACATTCTGAATAATACGTATTTCTTACATAATGAAAAATTATCACTATTCATATTCAAAATCAACATTGAACATTTATTCAGTCAACAATATCCTCGTCCACGCCCGCGCGAGAGTGGACAAAAATATTTTATCTTCGTTTTGTTTTTTCCACATTTTTGTACAAAAATCACCTCCGTGATCGTTCGCGCAGCACGCTGTTGTATTCATTATACAAATAGGTACTTCTGAAAAAAAGTATCTAAAAAAAATGTACAGATTTTCCCCTCCGAGATGGCAGGCTTTCGAGAGCTTCGAGGCCGCAGCTTGGAAGCGAAAGATTCGGGTCGCCTGCCTGCTTGCCTGCCTGCTCGATAGCAAAGCCCGATGGTGAAGCAGAGGAAGCAGCAGCGCATCAGACTTCTACATTATATTGTGTGGGTATATGTATATATGTATAATAAACCGCAGCGGCCACGCCAGCAGCATCAACGTGTTACACATTAAATTTGCTCGTGTCATGGCCGTTTAAGGCTTCGCTATCAACCACCACCGTCGTCGTTGCTGTCCAGAAATTCAGCTCGAGGCGGCGGGAGCTTTTTGCGCTTGAAAGGGACTCCACTTCAGGCACTCTGGATCGATTTCCTTCAATGTGGTGCCACGACGCTTTACCCTCTCTTTGTAGTCCTCGATCACGTCCTGGGGAACAGAAATTTTAATCGTCCATAGTGTTTAACGCTCGTTTACGGATGTTTCGCGTTCGAACGTCCGCTCGAGCTAACTTTTATTTTAAGTAAGGGTGAAAAAAAAACTGAAGCAAACGATGTCACGTAAAAATAAATTCCATACACATGCACTAAAGGATTATTCGCGATTATGTCGCTGCACCTCGTACGCGCTTATGCAGAGGTAGCGGCGGCGGCGGCGGCGGCAGTACAAGGGTCTGCTACGCGAGTCAATAGGAACATGATAAATTGGATAAAAGCGAATATGAAAGACATAAGTGATAACGAGATTAATGACGTCAGAGGCTCGTCGTACCTGCTTCTTAAGTATGATGTGCTTGCCCTTCCAGTACTTCATCATTCCTAAGGCTTGCAGCGTGCTTACTATGTCGGAGGAATCAATCGCCATTTCCTTGCTGATGTCTGCGAGAAAAAGAACGAAAAAACACGAAAAAATTATTATAAATAAAATTGTCGAGAATCGTCTGAGATGCACTGAGCCGCAAAATGCTGCTGTTGATTCGCGAAATTTTTAGTTGTGTTTACGTACCTTTAATGGAAATTTCCTTCCCGCCGAAATTGCAGAGATATTGAAGTAGTACATCTTTCCAATAGCTGCGGTATGAAATTAAACCGAGATCCGATAGCGGCTTTTCCGGTGAACCTATTTTACTTTCTACCCTAGTGAGTAAGTAACCTGAAACAGAGAACAAAAAAATCACAATTAAGTATGAGTTTCACATATTGGATATGTGCTCGAGCTTTCTTGTTCATTATTTCAACGATTCATTTTGTTCTAAAAAGTATGAAGAATTATCGGACATTCTTCATTCTACTCGGGCTCGCCGACACGCGTTGAGGATGATTTATTTCCCTGAGAGTTAACGTGTAAAAGTGCGAGCTTAAAAGAACGTTCTTGACGTAATGTCATGAGAACCATGAACTCGTTTCAACGAGGAGAACTACGGCTTTACGTTTAATTTAGAAACGTTTTCTGCGACTGGATTATATTTTATTGGTATTACAGAATTGGATTTACGTTGATAGCTTAATTACAATAAAGTATGAAAGAGCTTTTGAATAATTGAGCACATTTTCCATTGTAATGGTACAAAAATCAGAGTATAATATTAAAGCATGATTTGTGTTTCGGTAAGCCAAACTGCGCTTGAAATGAAGTTATTGTTACTGTTGAAAGGATCCATGACTATAAATAAATAATTGAGTCGAAATTTCTGCTGCTAATGAAATCAACTATTAATTTGAATAATTATATGACTTTCATTAAAAGCAAAACATTATCGTTTCCATGTACTCAGAATGTTTGAAAAAAAATAACATGCTCCACGTCGTAGACCTATAATTAAAGTTAGTTTTTCCCTCGATCAAGCGCGTGTAATGCATCAGACAGCGAAGCTCAGGAACTCGGAAATCATTCCTGTCAAAGCAATCGAAAAAAAGAAAATAAAAGAAAGAAACTCGCGACTGCGCACGACTCGCACAGTTGCGCCGAGGGCAAATTAAACATCGAACAATATCACACACACACACTCGGCGTGGCACACAAATCTGCTTCACGAATTGCTGCTGCTACGCTCGTATATGTGTGCTCATCACCGTCGAGTCTTTGTAAATTTAGACACGTGATTGTGGTAGCAGGCAGCACGTAATATATCGCGCGCATTGCGTGTGTACAAATATATATATCACGGTTTTTTTGCGCGCGCGATGAGCCTCGGGGCGAATCTTTCTCTTCTGAGTGTGCAGCGAGCTTCGCACGATCGCATTGCGTGCGCGTGTATTATGCGGGCTGCACACATTCGATATGCATGCGTTGATACGCTACTGCGTGCGAAGCTCGCGAATGTATATACAACAGATTTCAAAGCCTCGTTTCGAACAAATGCTCGCGCGGCGTTTTGCAATAATATAGACGTTATATTTCAAATGTCGCGCTGCAGCGTATTATTAATCGAACCAAAATCAATTAACGTACTGTACGTCGATGCCATAGCTGGATGCAGCAGCAGCAATCGTTTGACGCGATTTCAATGCGTATACGTATGCGTCTCTGCGAGGCACGTCGATCACAACAAAAGCGTCGTTTAATTTAAACGTTGATGAATTTTTTTTTTCGCGCCATATACTCGATATTATATATATACGTATAGCATTCGCGGCGCGTTTATAAAATCGATTTCTGCAAATGGCTTCGCGGCGCGATGTCACCGCTCTGTGTGTGTGTGTGTGTGCTGCACTACCACCAGTAGCGGTAGCAGCATAAAGAGAGGAGGTGAAGGAGATGGAGGAGGAAGAGGAGAGACGGGGGGAAGCTGTACATACATCTATGTACGTACTCATATAGCACACGCGAGAGCTGCATAAATTGAATAGGGCAGCAGCTCGTGTTGCATGCACAATATATGCTATATAAGCGAGGCAAGCTTGCAATAAATAACCGCGAGTGAAATTACGTCGAAGCTGCAGAGCAGCGGCGTCGCGAGCTCGCTCTGCGCGCTCCATACAATATATACACGGGGTTAACAAACGGTTATTTGCCAGCTCGTTCTCGCTCGGTGACTAATTGAACCTAAGCTTAACGTGGACGCGAGGAGAGCGAGAGAGAGAGCTGGGACATGTTGATTAGTGCAGGTATTATCGTTCAATTACACGCGGGACGCGCACTCGTGCAGCAGAGAAACAGCGGCAACAGCTACAACAGCGGCAGTTCTCGATTACACGAAACTATAGAGCTCGACGCGCGACGACGAGCTGCTGCTGCAGAGCACAATATACGTTACGCGCAAAACATAACAAATTTCATGGGATCCGTATATACGTCTAGTGCGGTGATCACGAGTTGCTGTTGTTGTTGTTGTTGTTGTAGTTGTTGCTACTGTTGTGCTTGTGTCTAGCTGTAGTTGCGGAGTCGAGAGCCAAGCGAAATTATCCCCCAATCTTACGTAGCTGAGTAGACGTCGAGTGCAAAACTACCAAGCCCCAAGTAGTATACCCTCGTCGGTCAAGATCTCATTACGCGTGCTCTATAACCGTACTAAGACGGCCCCGTGCGTCGAACGAAACATTCGAGCTTGTCTGTTGTGCGTGGGCTCGCTGCTACGTACTACTACTCGGCATCTCTTCTCCTCTCTTCTCTTCTCTTCTCTCTCGAGAGAGTGAGTGAGACTCGGCGTCAGCCAGCCAGCCACCCGCTTATACGTATACGTCACACAGTGTAGTAGTGGTAGTAGAGAGAGTAGCAACCCCTGACCGATCCTGAGCCTCGGCCCGCGCTTCTCTGTCTCTCTCTGTCTCTCTCAGTCGAGTTCAACGAACTTTCGTATTGCTCTGCGCTGTACCACCCCCGCTCACACCGTCACGGCAGCCAGCAGCAGTAGCAGCAGCCGCTGCAGACTGCGCCAGAACGGGACGTGCTTCGCAAATTGCGCGAGGGCCGCAGAGCAGCAGCTATATACGAGCCAGGCAAAGCTTTAAGCTATATAGGCGCGTATACGTATATATATATAGCAGCGCTCACGCATACACACCCCCGAAGCTTCGTACTGTATGTATGTGTGTATAACGTACAGACGAGAGAGGAAAAAGAATCGATAGCTATTCAGCGTGCGATGCTGCGCGCAAGATTTACTCAGCCATCTCTTCCATGTGTCTGTGTGTATGCGTTTCCAGTATGTGACGTATTATATGAAATTAACAGAGCTTCCGGTACTGACAACGAGCATATACAGTACGCGCAAGCTCGCAGTCGTCATTCACTTTTTAGTCCGAAAGCTCAACGAGCCTAGGTAATATTTTTTTTCCCCTTTTTTTTCTCCTTTTTTTTTATGTTCACTTCAATGACTCGAGTATAATAGGCGACAATAGCCACGAGAGATAGAGATTGGCTGACTGCACATACGCGGATCGACGTCGACGAGGCAATCGCAATTCCGCGATGATTGTGTATACACGTTCGCATCGTGCGGCAAACGATTGGCAACGATTGTTGATCATTCCACTGGCACTGTGTACTTCGAGCAATTTTTTTTTTTTGCTTTTTCGACGTTATAACGATAAAATTCGAATTTTATAAAAGCCGCGGTGCGAGTTCGTTTGCCTGTGCATACGCGATATTATATCGTTGCCGGCGCACCCGACTTTTTGACGAACGATAATAATCCTTCACGCCACGGTACAGTTTTACATTCGTTTATTTTTCGAAAATATTTTTAAGCGTGCGGCTTTTAGAAAAGGTGTACGATTCGCGCTCGTGGCCAGGCGCGCGGTGAACGTCCATTATATGGAAAATATAGGCAAAAGTACAAAAGGGACACAAAAGGTTCGTTAGCGTTCTATCTCTGTATATAAGCGATATATATACATCAATACATTTATGGAAATGAAATGAAGGAAAAATCGCGCGCGGCGGACAAAGATTTATATTTTTTTCGTTTGATACTGCGCACCGCGTTATAAGTCTTATAGAGTGAGAAAGAGAGAAAAAAAACGTCGCGATTTTACCGCGTCGAATTGGAAAAATCGAAATAAAGAGAGAGGATATCTTTTGCGACAGATATTAAAACATTCACCAGCGCAGAGATTGTCGTCTTTTGTACCGAGCTTTGCTGCCTGTGCTATGCCTATATGTACCATCGCGCGCGCACACACATAGACATCCTGTGATCGCAGTGAAGTGTAGACAATAGAAAGTCATCCGTAATATAACAAAGCGAGAAACGGCTCTAGTCTCTCTCTCGCTCGAATAATTTTCCGGATCGAGACTTGGCACGATCGTGTATAGATGTATGTGCCTAGTCGTGGGTGTGTGCTACACTCGACGAGCGATTTCAAGCCTTCCAGGCAGATATAGAGGAAGCCTCGAGGAGTCGAGCGCTTCGAACGTCGGATTCAAACTTGTCTGTATATATGTGTATACCATATACCTTATACACAAGATGATACGATGCGCGCAGAACACGCGATACGATATCGCGTCACCGGCGTCGACTACGACGACGATTGCGACGACGTACTACGACGACAGTTTTGCGCGCAACGTATATCCCTCCCGGCTTTACGCGTCATCTGCCTGAGACATTGCTCTTTCGCGGCTGCTGTTGGCGTGTACGTCTGCATCATACATTTTGGGACTTTGCCTGACGTCATCGGCACACACGCTCACATATATGTACGAGCTTGTACGCGTATAAATAGTATTTCTACTGTACAATATGCTTGGGAATAGAGCTTATTTTAAAGCTGCTGCAAGCTGACATTTCAGAGAAATAAGTTCGACGCGCTTCCTCGATATATCCAGCAGCAGGCATGCGTGTATGTTTCCATCGGCTCGGATTATGATGATTGTTAATTATCATCTCTCTATCTCTGTGAAGTTGCAGAGAGAGAGAGAGGATTATCCGGAAATATATCAGTATTATTAAAATTGGAGCTATCGAGAGTATTTCACGCGGCATTATAACAGTCAAAACGACGTATAAGGTAATCGTCGATCCAGCTTCTAATGAATAAAAAATTAAAGCTTCTGTCGGATAACTATCTGCGACGTCCACTGCAAAAGCGTAGCGAAATATTTAATTATCGGCTCGATCGTGCGCACGGACGAGTTTGCGAAACGATATCACATCGACAGCAGCAGCAGCACAGCGCACCGATATGCGCGCGAATAAATAATTGAAA